GGGAAAAGTGTTCAGAGAAAATATGGGCACTGGCCTCTAGCGCAGACATGCGTTTGTGTAGTCATGCTAAGAAATGCTGGTGACATTTGCACCCTCCAGCGTCGGGAACCATCAACCTGTGTATCCTGGCGCCCCTGCTGCCCCATGATTAATATCTAAGTTTTCCTAGTAGGGGCCCGGTGGAGCATGATTTCCATCACTGCCCTCTATACTAGCGAGCACTCTCTAACTATCCATTGCTCAAGAGCCAAGCAGGGCACCTTCTCCAGCGCCCACATGGGGAGTCCCAAGTCAAATCCTGTCCTGAATGGCGGAGACCAAGCTTCAAAGGCAGCTGTGCCCTCGGTCCTCTGGTCAGTCTTGGAGCACAATGTTGGCCTCTTGTATCTGCCTGGCTGTCATTGTGTTCAGCAGAATCATCAGTGCTGATCACATGATCTTGGTGTGCTTCCTCTCTTGTCTTAAATTCAGTGTGTCCCACATGGTGTCCTGAGTCTGTTTATTAGTCTGTTTTGTATTGATACAATTTTACAAAATAGGTACACTTTCAGTGGCTGGAGCATCCAAATAACATGGCACTGGCAACTAGAAAGGACTCCCAGGCTGACACAATGTGGCAGAGGCAGGGAGGGGGAAGCGGCTGTCTGCAGTCAAGATCAAGTGTGTGGTGACCAAAAAAAAAAAAAAAAAAGTGATAATTTTTTTGATAACAAAAAAAAAAAAAAGTGTGTGGTGACCTCATTTTGTAACAGCTGCTCTCATAACAGCTAGTTCACCCCTTAGAGTGGCCTTACTCCCTCCAGATGATGTCCATTCCATGACCTAACAACCTTCTCCTGGGCTGTCCCTTGTAAAGGTTCTACCATCTCATTGCCAGACTGCTGGGCCCAGGGTTTCAGCGCACGGACCTCAAGGGACACACCCAAGTTGCATCTAGGCCACTATACCATCCCCCCTGCCTATGGCTAGAGACAAATGCATGTCCATACTTTACAGACCACACACAACAGAAGGAAACTGCACATCACACACAAACACACAGCCACGTAGTATGTGCAGAGACATCCACACAAGCAGAGTTATAATTCCCGTATCTGCCAACAGAGGATGAATGCAGCCTGGGAATCAGCAGCGACTCTGCCTTTCCGCCCCTGCCAGAGCCACATCATGGTTCACCATTTTCCACCCCCAACCTTCTCCCGTGAAGACTTACCATGCTGTGAGGAAGGAATGAGAATTATGGGACAGAGGGCCTCATCATTTCAGTCATGCTCACCAGGATAGAGAAAAATGGTAAAATCTCAAGACTTTAGCACTATAGATGTTTCCTTCCTACTCAGGCATGGTCTTGGAGGATATTCCCTACACACAGCTGAAAATAACATCCAAGAGGAAATGCTTCTAATCGAACTAGAAAAATAAGGAAACTAGAAAAAAGAAAAACATAATGACAGCCCAATATTAAGGAAGAGTCTCTGTCTTTTCTGGTGGGGGACAGAAAAGACAGCTGCCTATGGACTCCACATCCACATTAGGGTCTATTCCCAGCAGAGCGCGGGCTAATTCTGCTCCATGGGATTGTGCAGGATTGTAGAAACTCAGCTACCTGAGGCTGCACCCTCCTCCTCAGCAGCTTCCAAGGTCTGCAGCCCAAGGACAAACCGGAAAAGGAGAGGTGTAGAATTTCACTTGGGAAGCTGTTTTGTGGGCCAGGCATAAAGTGATACGGTCGCTGCCCCCTGTATTTCATATACCGACTTTGGTCACAAGGCTGTATATAATTGCGAGGAGAGGTAGGAAATGTAGAGCCTAAAGGAAGGCGTGTGGGGTACCCATATGTTGTTATTCTCGTTGCTGGGGGGGCCCCACACCCCTAAAGCCTAGTGTGTTTTTTCACCTCTCAATCTTGATTCTGCTGCCCGCTCTCTAGGAAGTGCTTCATGTCTGCCGTGTGACTTGCTGAGTCCTCCTAAACCCTGGCCAGCCAGCTCTAACCCTAACCACACACAGACACGACGGACGCCCAGACTTCACAATGTCACTGCACAGTACTTAGCGCCTCACCCCTCAGCAGGCCACCAGCCACGTCTTCCTCTTGATACCCAGTCACCTGGCACCACACTTGACACATAGTAGACACTCAGTAAATGATGGGTGAAGCTTTATCTCCACACACCTGCATTTGAAACCAAGGAATTTATTGCTTGGAGGGCTTGTGAGATTTGCCCAGGAGGTAAGGCATGAATGGGAGAAGTGAGATGCTAATCTAAGTCTTTCTGGTTCCCCACACATTTCAGACTGCACCACACTCCCTTCAGTGGGGCAGCAGAACTGGGAAGTAAGTTGCATTTCACAGAGGAATGTTTTCTTCTTTTAAATAATAGGTGCTTTTACAGAACTGAGGAAAGCTATGGACTACTGACATTTTCCTCAGTAAAAACCAGGTGCCCCTGGTCCTCCATACATGCCCCAGATTCTGAAAGTGGCATTAGAGCATATTATTGGTGGCTATGGCTGCAGACACATAAAACCATAAAGCCTTTAATCCGCACTCTCCCAGTATCCTCTGTGGGCCAACAGGGCTCTCCTCTGTCAGGTGATTCTGAGTATAGGTTCCTCCATTGTAAGATGTTACCTCCATTTCCAAATCACCAGCATGAAAAAAGAGAGACAGAAACACAGCGGCCAACAGCCAGCATTCACACGACATCAGAACAAACCATCAGGCAGGGGAGTAAAGACCCCATGCCTGCACTACAAGGTTAAAATTTCAGGAGACCTTGTGGAACCAAAACCCCCAGCCAAGTCAATTGAGAAAGCTTTCTTGCCTAATGGCATTAGCGTATACAACTGAAACAAGTCACACTGAGCCAGGTGTCACATTTTCAGGGCGGAGGGAACACCAAGTACAAGCATCTGGAGAAGAGCACACAATTCATTCAGTAACCACCCTTGCTGAGGCATGCAGGCTCTGCTGAAATCCTGCAGTGGAGGACATCTATGCAAAACCTTTTTGGTAAGGATTTGGCTTCTCTTAAGTGCAGGCAGACATAGAGAAGGCCAGGATATTTCTTGGAACTCAAGGTTCTGCTTGATTAGAAATGATTAACTACCTCAGTCAACTGTGTCAAAGTTCAGGGCCACTGCACACTTCGGGACAGCTGGCACACACACGATGGTCTAGCAGCAGAGTTTGGGATTTGTTCTTTGGAGCACAGTGAATGGGAGGGGACTTCGGCTCTGCATCCCCTTTCACTCTTCCTTTTTGGGGTCCCACCCATCCTGGCTACTTTGGCAGACACAGCAGGGTAAGGAGAACGTGAGTCTAGAATTTAGGGATGCTCCAGTGTGGATCAAGACCAAGGTTAAGGAATCCACGTTCTATACATTCAGACCTTAAAACCCCTTATGGAGCTGGTGTTCATGAGTTATAACACCCATAATACAAATGTGAAAACAGAGGCTCAGAGAATTTATATGACTTCTTGAAAGACAGCATCCTTTCCCTGACATGTCCCATGTCACCTCTGCCTTCAGAGCTCCTCACCTACCCCCATGATACCAACAGCACCTGGACCAACATCCATCATGAGTCAGCTTTCCATGGGCGCAGGTCCCCTTTGTGATGCCAGGTCAGGGATGACTTTGTTATTCCGCAGTGCCAGAAAGGGCTTGTTAGAGCCTCCGTCCCTTGTGTATCACCATTGTGTTTTCCCAGTGCCACTGTCACACCACAGGCCTGTGCTTCTCCCCACAGGCAGGTGGCGCTCTCGCCTGGTTGGAACCAGGACCCAGCCTGTGAAGAGTGAAAACCGAACCATACTTGGTAATAGCAAGCATAGGCATTTCTAGAGGTTTTCAGGACAATATCTGCGTGGATTATGCCATCTCGAAGGCACTTTCTGGTGATAGTTTCCTTGAAGACAGTTTGATGCTGAGACTAATCTGCAAAGTATGGAGGACCATAAACAGCTGAGGTGGGCACCATCACCCAAGCTCCAGTCAAGCAAGCTTGACTAGGAGACATGAATGCTGCCTGCCTTAGCTGTGGCCTTGAGAGGGGGAGAAGTGACAGGCGGTGGACAGTGTTTACTGTGCTCCTTTCAGAGTGACTGCCAGTGCGGGTCCTTACTTTCCAAAGCTAATATTAGACATCAGTGCCATCCCTACCCGTACCGATCGTCTTTTCCACTTCACCTGACCTGGTCAGGGAAACTGCCTCTATTTCCCTAAATATAATGAAATTATATATGTTTTTTGTATTTTTATGGTGTGTATTTATGTAAAATTTCATGTTCAGTGTCTCATGCTTCTTCCAGCTCTTAAGTGATGGGTCACCACAGCCCGCCCATCTCAATATGAAGAGACAGCATCATAGACAATCAGCGAACTATTAGTTCCTTGTCGAGAGAGCACACTGTATGTCTGGGATGTTTTGAATGTTGAGATTCATGTAACTTTTACACTAACCCTGTGAAGTAAATAAGATTATTATTCTTGCTTTACAGATATGGAGTCAGTCCCAGAGAGGGTCAATAATTTGCTGGGAGCCACATGGCTAATGAATTAAAGTAGGATTTGAAGTCAGGGCAGTGGGCTCTGGAGCCTTTTCAAAATTACACAGCTAACAAGAGGCAAAACTGGGATTCCGACCTGGGCCTTTCTGAACCCAAACCCCGAGTACTGCTTAGAACAGCACATTTGTCAGCACACTGTGCTGTGTGCTTCTCTCACACAAACTTACCTCCATTAGGTTGCAGGTGAGGAAACCGAGGCACAGAGATATCCTGCCTGTGGCCCCAAATCAAAGGACAGCAGAGCCACGGTCCTCCCTGACTCCCCAACTGCCCAGCCCCTCTGCTGCCAACCTGGGCCTGGTCTCCAAGAACACAAGCAAGCTTGCTAAAGAGTCTGCCACCCCCCATCACTGGCTGGCAGCACATCAGGGCTCCATCCCCTGCCTGTGCGAAGTCCATAGGGATTCAGGCACTGGTGGCCTCCTGTTTGCTTTGCTGGGCTGTTTGCTTTGTGGGTACAGAAGCCAATAGCCACACTACTGTGCAGACTTCTCGGGGGCCCTGGAGCGGCCCTGGGCCTCCTGTCATACTGAGAGAATGAGGATGGGGGTATGGACTGGGAGGGCGCTGGCAGAAGTGTTTCTCCTCAGCGTCGCCCTGGGCTGCCTCAGTTTACCTGGCTCCAGGTAAGTGCTGGTTACAAATGAACCCCTGATCAATCATGTGGCAAGGAGCAGACGGCCACGTAACTCTGGCTGGCTCTGTGGCATGGCGACGGGAAAGAGATGTCTCTTGAAACTACCTTCAGTGATTGTGGAGCCAAGTGACTGGCTTCAACCAACAAATCTCGAGGAAGAGGCAAGCTTAAATGTGTTCTGTCAAGCTGGAAGACGCACATATTTGTTCTGTGTTCAAAACAAAGCTTAGGTCTGACTCTCTATGCAATACAAATTTTATTGTGTGGGGGTGAAAAAGAGCCAATTCATATGAATGGTTTTAATATGTGAGAGTGATCTGCTACCCTTGCCCAGCAGCTCCAGCCTGGGTTCTCTGGGTCTCTCCCGCCCCTCCCCCTCCTCCTCCTCCCTCTCCTCTTCCTCCTCTTTGCCCCCCTCCCTCCCCTCCTCTTCCTCCTCATCCTCTTCCCTTCCTTCCCCTTCCTTCTCCTTCTTCTCCTCCCCCTCGTCTTCTTCCCCTTCTCCCATCCCCCTTCCTCTTCTTTCTCTTCCTCCCCCTCTGTTCTTCGTTCCTTTCTTTCTTTTTCTTTCTTTCTTTTCTTTCTTTCTTTCTTCCTTCCTTCCTTCCTTCCATCCTTCCTTTCATTCTCCTCCTTCTCCATCTTCTTCCTCCCTTTCTCTTCCCTATCACCAAATGTTCACTGCTGACTTATTTTGTCATTTTAAGTCCCCATTAATAAGTTGCAAAATAAGCTAAAGAGCATACCTCAGTGGGGGCTCAGAGTTGGACTGCAGTGACGCTCTGGTGGTTGGCTGCTAGGGGCTTCCTGGTGAGCGAGATGCAGCTGTGCTCAGGTGCCCCTTGTGAGCGCCCCCTAGGGAAGAGAGACTGTCAGTGCAGTTCCCCACACTTGGCGCAGATCTCCCGGAGCGCAGACAGCCTCTCAGTGTGGTAGGTGCCAAGGGGCTGATGGGCTCACTCTCCACTGAGTTCCACTGAGTGTTTAGCCCCTGGTGGCCACTGCCGCCCCGAGACCAGGACTGTGATTCTTGACTACTTCACTATTAGAATTATCAAGACTGCAGTTGACTGCCAAGGCCTTCACCGTGTGTGTTACACATGCGCAGAGAAGCAAATAGGAGCCAAGGAAGGGAGGGCGTGAGCAGACCACAGCATTCTACTGTAGCGCTGTGCCCCTACCAGGTGGGCGCTGCAGAGCCGTGATGAGAAAGACTCAGCTCTGTCTCGAGGAGGAGGCTGGCATGTGAGCACGTTTTCCATGGACTGCTACAGGAGACACTGCAGGGCCCACAGTAAACAGGGGAGGGAGGGCCCAGCCCCGCCAGGCCTGAGGTCTAGAAAGGGGTGAAGGCAGAGGCATGGGAGGATGACAGAGCCGACTGGTTTTTCCCAGGGTGCTAGCTTTATTTCAGTAGCCTTGAGTCCAGGCCAGTAGGAGCTACAAGGGATATGGTGGAGCAGTCAACAGGAGATGGGCCACGTGCAGTGGTGGAGGATACCAGCGCGGGTCACGGGCCGGAACCGTGTCCTCTAGGCAATGTGGGATTGATTATTATCGATAGACACATGGTGCCCCCTCTCCCACATTAGCTCCTTCTCCACGGCTGGTCAAGGGTGGTGCCAGTGTTGACAGTCAAATAAAGGAAACTGAAGCTCAGAGACACTCATGTGACATGCAGCAGAAGATAGGTTCCAATGCCATTTCTTTTTGGGTGGGTGGAGTGGTAATCTGAGGCCCTGTGTTCTGGTGCTTCACTAATGCATTTTCCCCTTTCCTGGATGATGTCCCTGGCTTCCTGGACCTCCATGTAGATTCTCTGTCTCTGCTGTCTGGAGAGGTTGCTTTAAATTTCATGTCTGCAACAGCAAATGACAAAGAGAAGAGAAATCGAAAACCTGCCACCCAGACACTGCTGGATTCTAACACCGTAGAAGGCTGCTATTTGCAAAAGGGATGCAGCTGCCTAACAAATTGTGTGTGACAAGAAATTCGTTGTGTCAGGGCATTTCTAGAGAAAGCCAAAATATACCGATGCACCCCGTCTATATAAGCTGATGGCTGGAAATTTACTGCTGACCTCACCCTGCTGTACTCGATGAATCCATCTTTATTTTGGTCAGAGATGCCTGTTAGAAAGTGGGGGGAAGACCCAGGCCCAGTAAAATAAGTCACCCTGCTGATGGCAGCATCCCCTGCAATCCAGGACAGGCACTTTCCTGCCAGCCCCTCTGTGGAGAAGCACACATCCAAGGCCTTGCTGGGGGTGTTCTGTACCACTATTTGTAATTACAAAATATTGGGGAAAATAAATGTCCTTCAAACAGAGGAAGAAGGATCAGTTAAATGCAATGTATATCTTGGCATAGAAATCCAGATTTTAAAAAATGATAAAGGTCTCATTATGTGTCAACGTGGAGAGGCCTCAGAAATGCTGTGCTGACTGGCAGAAGCAAGTTGCAAAATAAAAGGCATGATGTGGGGCAAGCACAGGAGCTACGTTATGTATAAGAGGGTTTTTAATTAAAAAGGCAGAGCAAGTGTGCTCAAAGATTCACGGTGGGCAATGGGGCATGAGTGTGTGGTATGCATTATCTTATGCTATTTTTCTTTTACTTCTCTAAGCATGCTTAATTTGCATAATTAAAAACATATAAAGAATGTTTAATGACAGCAGTCAAGCATGTTGATCAAACTGTCCGAATGTCCAGGTTTGTTTCTACACACACTTAAAAGGATTAAAGGCTCCCCTCATCGCTTACCAACGCCCCCTCTGAGGAGTCCTTTATGTGGCTCATGCTATTCCCAGGAGTTAAAGGTGCATTTCGATGCCAGCCTTCCTTCTGGAGTTGCATTTGCAGCCCTAATAAACTGCACTCATCTTATCCAATGTAATTTACAGACACTCCTTATTCAGCTGATTACTTATTATATTGCCATCTCTATAATGAAAATTGGGTGCAAAAATGAGAGATCTGGTAATTATAACTTTTTTTACTAAGTTCTTTCTATAACTGATCATCTTCCCCATTAACAGGCTTCAAATCTCAGAAAAGAAAACAATTGTGACTCTTAATAGTTGATGTATTATTTACCCACTCGGTCTCCGCCGTAGTCTGGAGTTTGACTGATCATTGCAAAAAACACAATGCAAGCATTTTAAAGTCAAAACAGGAAGAGAGTACCCTGCAGAGCTGTCAAATACATACTTGGGAGAAGCCAAATCACAGACAATATTGTTTTGTCAAACCTGGGTAAATTAGTAGATGGAGCCCGTTCTGAGGCCCCCGTGGGTGTGCAGTATTCTGCCTCCAGTAACCGCTTTACGATTTCCACCTGTGGTTTCCAGTAACGTCTTTGACCTTTCTTTAAAGATCCAGCTTTACTAGGCCATTGATTTTTGCTGGTCTCTGGGGCAGGCATTTCACTGTGGTTAATATTATCCCTTTTTTAGGACTTTTGCCAAGTGAGGATGTATTGTTAATGACCTTGTCTGGAGTGACATCCTATGTATTTGAGCTGGTGAAAACTCTGTGATGCTCTCCCTAATGACTCAATCTGGGATACAGGATTAGGGTAGCCTTAGGAAGACTGGATGGATCACTGCAGCGGACCCTGGTCCTGTCCCCTTCCACCTGGTGTGGGCAGGGAACCGGGCACGAGCTCTGGAGTCAAACAGATCTCTGCTCAAAGCCCAGGGCTGCTGCATAGCACATGGTGACTGTGGGCACACCTCTGTCTCTCTGGGCCACTTCCCACATCTGCTCAGGCGCCCATTGTCCATGGTTGCCCTCTGGCACTGCTGTGAGGCTCAGATGTGGTGGCATGGATAAAATGCAAAGCACAGTACTGGACACGCACATCACAGACAGTCAGCAAGTCATTCCTCTTCACGTCTCCTTTCCACACTTGAAGAGAAACACACATTACAGTCTCACCGTGCAGTCACTTGTGTGGAAGAAGCAAACAACACACTCATCGTGGTACAGATAGGGAAACTGAGGTTCAGACAGAGTAAATAACACACTCACTCATTTACTCATGAACAACTGCTTGTCAAGGCCAGTGGCACTGCCTTAACTTTAGACATGTGTCGCTTGACTGCTCCGCATATAGGACTCGTCTGCCATCTCCATACCACACCCACTCATCTCAATGAACTCTCCCTGCCCTGTTATGGGTGTCTGTGATGGCTCCATCTATCCTGGGCTGGGGAGGGTTGCTGTTCCTCTAGGGCTTATGCATGTTCTGCTTCTCCTCTCAAGAATGGCCTCCCACTCTGGGGCTGCTTTGTGAGATCAGATCTGAGTTTCTAGCACAAATCTCGCTTACCAACCTATGTACAGATAAGTGCACGTTCTATGGGCAGCTGAGCTCAGCATGCCTCGCCGTCTTGCTCAACAGAGCTTCTCCTTTGCCTGTGTTCCTGTGCACTCATGCATGCCTCTTTCTAACACCCCTCCATCCTGTCCAGGCACCCGCCTCTTGAGCACGTCTCTGTCTCTCCCACTGGTCCCTGTTCCTGGTCATTGCTCAGGGGCACTCCTGTACCAGCCTCACACCCACTGCCCTGCGGCCCAGGGCTCCTGACCCCTACCCAGCCTGCTCTTGTCCTCTAGCCTGGCTTTACCACGGGGACTACATGCTTCAAAATCTAACTGCTGCGGAAAATCTCACAGCACTAAGCTGGGAGTTGTGTTTGTCTTTTGGTGCTCTAAGCCTAACTGTGCATTCTGAAGTCAGAGCTGTGCCTTACATTTCTGTGTGCCCTGTGTAGCCATTTGTTGTCAGCAAGTATTACAGACCATCTAGTTCAAAACTCGCCTTTTCCACCGGATAAAACGGAGCCCAGAGATGGGGAGTGAATTACTGTGAATGATACTTCTAGTTGTATTCCCTGCACATCTATAGCACTTTAAACTTTGTAACATAATTAACTGTACTCTATGATTTGTAATCCCAGAAATAGCCTTGTGAAGTAAGTGTGATTAGCCGCATCATACAAGTTGAAAAATCTAAGATCATTCAGCTACTCTGGACTGTTTTCAATACTCCTTTGGCCACAGCTAGCTATATGCTGGGCACTTACTGGATGGTCAATAAATATTCACTGGATGAATTAACCTGTACTGGAATGATAAACTAATAACCTTGCATGAGTGAGCAAGCAAGTATTTATCGGGTGGATGGACAAATGGTTGGAAGGGCATGGGATTCCTTTCTGCTACTTGATTCTCTTCTTTCATGATGACATTTTAGAGGTGAAAAACCAGTTTTCCTTGAGTCAAGTGCAGTCAACAAGAGCAGACAAGCGCGGAGTGTGGACATTGCCCTGATGCCCATTGACTGTGAACAGTCCAGCTGGATTTCCTGGACTGCATGCGATTCCTGTCAGAAGAAAAGGGTAAGAACCCAGGCCCTCGGAGAGTGCCAGGCTTCCAGGAGCCCTGGTCCTCAGCGAGGTGAGCTGGGGCGTTGAGGAAGTCCCTGCTGCACAGTGGGCTTCAGTGAATCCTGGCCAGTTAGCCGAGAGGTCGTTACCCTCTGAGCTTTCAAACGGCACTCACGCCCTCTCCTTGGCCGTTCAGGGTTGTCACACACACCTCTCCTTGAGCTTCTTAGTAGGCTTCCTGCTTCTGCCCTGCTCTTCCTACCCATCCCTTATCATGCAGCCCAGGGAACCTGTCACAGGCTGTTTGGCCCGCCTGTCTCTTGTTAAAGCCATTCAAGGTCTGCTCTCTCCTGAGCACCAGGCCAGACTCCGCATCTTCAAGAACTGTCCCCACTGCGGCACCTCGCGCTCTCCTGCCCTCCCAGCTTTCACTCTCCCTGAGCCTTTGACCCTGCTGTGCTCTCAGCCAGCTCTGCCCTCTCCTGCTTCCTTCTCTGGCTGCTTTCCAGCATTTGAAATTCTACTCAAGACCTCTTGTTTGGAGAAGCCTTTTCTGATGCCCTCCAGTTAGATAAAACGAATCACTCCCTGTCACCCTGTAGCCTGGCCTTTACCACATCATGGTGTTAAACATGTAGAGATGTATTCTGCATTTTAAGCACGCAAGCCTATTTCCAGCACACAAAATGTGCCTCATGAATATTGCAGTTTGAGCTCATTCTGTTTTCAGACTTCTCAGTAAAGGAGGCAGGATGATTGTTACATATTCTGCTAGAAAGATTGATAACCAGAACTCAGAGCAGATGAGTGACTTCTTGAGGCCCCTGAGCAAGTGCAAACCTTCAACTCAAGTCACCTGTTCCTTGTCTACTCTTCTATTGATAAAAACCTGGCAGTTCCTGGATGTTTGTCCTTGGGCCTCCCTTGTCAGGGGAGAGCTAGCCCATAGTTCCAACTCTGAGAGCCAGGGCTATGTCCAGGGAAAGAGAATAGCTGGTGTTTCCCTGCTTAGTAGGAAACCTGACGTGTCATGGCTCAGACTCTAAAGAGGATGTGGAAGTAGGCCCAGGACAATTACACAGTTAATTGGATCAATGGCAAGAGCCAAGCAGGATCATCCAGTTCCCAGAGTAGGTTTTCTTGCTGAAGTTATCAACATTGATCCAATTATCTGGATAATTGCTTCGTCTGCCTCATAAACTGGAAAGACTCAACATAAGGCAGCCTGCCCTCTCCTCGCCCCAAGGTTGCTGCTGTGACTCCCTCAGCCAGACAGCATCCCTGTCTGCAAGGTCACTGGCTGGGCTTCAAGGACACCTCTTCAACCTGACCAGAGATGATGCCCCTCCAGCATTTCACACCGCCAAACCCACTTTGTCTTGGGAGTCCCCACCAGGCTCTGGCAGTGTGTGTGTGTGTGTGTGTGTGTGTGTGTGTGTGTGTGTGTGTGATCTTATTTTATTTGTATTCTAATTGAAATGTAATGTTTGTACTTATTTCTGGAGAATAGCATTATAGATAACTTGATGAAAGTGTATAATGGATATCAGAGTAATTAGCATCTCTGCCTCCTCAGACATGATTTTTCCATATGTTGAGATGTTAGCAACCTGCACAGGCTTCTTCCCCAGCTCCTTCAAACTGTGTAATTGTCTCTGGCAGTTCTGCCATTGTGCTGCAGAGCGTTAGAACCTGTCTTCCACCTCCAACAGTGTTTGGTTCTCCTTCTCTACCCCCTTTCTGTCCCTCCACTTTCCTGACCCCTGTGCCCTCTACTCCCTTCCCTGCTTCTATGTATTAGCTTCCACGTATGATTCAGAAGATGCACTGTCGTCCTGTCTCTGTCTTACTTCACTTAATGTGACGTCTTCCCATCCCATCCACGTTGCAATGAATGAAAGGATTTCATTAATCGTATTGCTAAGTCATATTCCATTGCTGTTTGCACTGCCTTTTTGTCGTCTGTTCGTTTTCTTTGAGACATGGGTCTTGCTCTGTAGTTCAGGCTGCCTGGAGCGCTGGGACTACAGGCCTGTGCCACCATGCCCAGCACACCACATTGTTTACTCTATGCATCTGATGACAGACATTTTGGTTCATTCAGTGTCCTCACTGAGGTGAATAATGCTATAATGCGCATGGCATGCAGGTTTTTTCCTTGACATAGTGATTTCGTTCCCTTTGGATAGACATGTCCCCAGACTGCTGGATTGTATGCTGGTCATGCTTCCTGGTTTTTGAGGAGCCTCCTCCCTGTTTTTCAGTGTGCATTCCCCTGCATCTTTGCCATTTGTATACCATCAGTGGGGAAATATCTGCACACATTATTGGCCCATTTAAAAATCAGATTACTTGGGGGATTGTTGCTGTTGAGTTGCTTGAGTTCCTTACATATTCAGGATATTAATCCCTTGTGAAATGAGTAATTTACAAATACTTTCTGTTTCATAGTTTGTCTTTAATACTGTTGAGTGTTTCCTTTGTGGTGCAGAAGCTTTTTAGTGTTATGATATAATCCCATTTGTGTGTGTGTTTCTTTTTATAATCCCATTTGTTTTCCTCTTGTTTCCTGTGCTTCTGAGGTCTTAACTGCACCCCTCCCATCCTTCTACATCGATATCTCTGAAGTGTCTTACTTGTAGTTCTGGGTCTTATATTTATGGCCTTGATTCACTGGGGTGAAGGGTGTTCAGTTTCATCTTTCCCATGTGTGTATCCAGTTTCCCAGGACCATTTATGGACGAGTTTGTCCTTTTTCCTATGTATGTCTTGGTACTTTTGTTGAAAAGTGGTTGGCTGTAAGTATGTGGATTAATTTCTGTATTTTCTATTCTGTCCTTTCGGTTTGTGTGTGTGGGAGTTATGATTATCCAGGCTGTTTTGGTTACTAAAGTTTTATAGTATGTTTTGTAGTTAAAAATTCATGTAGAGTAATGTCTCTGGCTTTGTTCTTTTGTTTTCCAGCATAAATTGAACCTAGGGCCTGGTGCATGCTAAGCAAGTCCTGTGCCATTTAGCTATGTCTCTGGCCCTTTTAAATTTTCTTTTCTCACTAGGTGTCCAGACTGGCATTGAGCTTGCAATTCTTCTTCCCCATCCACTTCACCCAATTTAACTTCGTTCTTTTTAGCTCAGGATTGCTTTGCCCAGTCTGGGTTTTCTGTAGTTCCATATAAATTCTATGCTTGTTTGTTTTCCAGTTCTGTGAAGAATGCTGTTGACATTTTGAGGGGGATTATGTTGAATCTGTAAATTGCTTTTGGAAGAATGGACATTTTAACAATATTAACTTTTATTATTCATATTATTATTATATACATGCAGTGATTTATGTCCTCTTATAATTTTCAGTTTGTGTGTGTATCCTTTAATAATTTTTATTATAGAGATTTTAATTAATTTATTTATTTGGCATTTATTTCTAGGCATTTTTATGGCTATTATGAATTTGATTTTTAAATTTTCTTTTTCACTAATTACTGATTTTTATGCAAACTGTTACTGATTTTTGTATGGTGATTTTGTATCGTACAACTTCACCGATTTTTTGTATCAGTTTCACCAGATTTTTGGTAGAGTTTTCAGAATTTATTAAAAAATAAGAGCATGTTATCTTCCATTAGAGTTAGTTTGATTTTTTTCCTTTCAGGTCTAGATACCTCTCAGATTTCCACTGTATAATTACTAAGTGCTCTGTTTAATCCTTCCAGTGCCACTCTGTACAGGAGTGGTGGATCTGGACATCTGTTTTGTTCCGGATATTAGAAGAAATACTTGGAGCTTTTCCTAGTGTAGGTTTACTATATATGGCCTTTATTGTGTTTAGGTTTTCACAACATAGCTTGTTAAGAGTTTTGCAGAACTTAGTGCTGTCCTGACTCTGCCTTCCAAGAACAATGGCCCTGTGGAGCCAAAGGAGCGTGGGCAGATCGTTGCCTAGGATCTTTAGACTTACACCTATGGAGGCCAGCTAAGTGATAACTGTGCTTTTGTTAGTGCATCGTCCTGCAGCCATTCTTCTATCCTTTGTGCACTGAAATCTTGACCACAACTAAAATTTGGAAGCTGCCCACATTTTCTCACTTCTTTCTTGGTATCCCTGCTTCCTTTGTCCCCACTCTCCGTCTTGCAGTCTTTTCTCTAGCCATGATGAAATCCTTTGTGTTCTTCTGTGTGTCACTCAACTTTGACCCAGCCGCCTCCTCCACCAGGTTGCTCCTCTCTGCCATCCTTACCATTTTCCACATCTGCCTTATTTCTGCTCAGTTGCTGGGTTTCCCATCCCAGCGTGGTTGTCACTCCTCCTGAAAGCCTCTCGCAGCCAGCTGAGCTTGCACAGAGCTCACAGAGCATGCTGCACGGTCCTTGTCATATGCCTGTCACACTGTGTGGCCACTGCCTGTGCCCACCACCTGAGGTAGGCTAGAGGACAACATTATGCTTTAAAACCAAGCAACAAGCAGGCAAACACAAATAACTCTACCTTTTCAACATAGGGGAGTACAATCTATGTTTTTTGGAATAAATATAAAGGGAAAAATATTAACAACTAAAAATTACTAATATAAAAGAAAAACTACGAGAAACTGAGTGTCTACTATGTGCCAGACAAACACAATGAGGCTGAGGTTGCACATATGTAATTTAATTTCCCAAAGTGTACATTTAGGGAATCTATTATCCCCAGTTTACAGGGTGTAGATTGAGATTTGCAAAGTTCACACCACTAGCTGAATATCTCGTAACTAGAAAGTATCAGTCAGTTGTGACTCCTAGGCACACACTTTTTCATATCTAATATGCAGATGCCTTAAGAAACAAATGAGAATATATAAAACAACCCATTGGAGTTATTAAGCCCAGAGATAATGTACCTTTTACTGTTGAACTGATTGCATAAGTTTGCCTGCTAACTTTTGATTACAAAGCCCGTACCTTTTCCTCATTCGGCAACTCGACAGATCACTGTAAATGCAGGGGTGAAAAACAAGGTCTCTGCTCTCAGAGAGCTCCCAAGCAAGTGAGGAAATATCAAGCAAACAGCCAATCACAACACAGACCCCCAGTTGTACATAATGGGGGAGCTGTGGGCTGGAGAGCAGCCCTCAGACCTTTCTGTGCTCTCTGGAGCCCTCAGCTGCCCAGCGCCCATGTACATACAGCCCTCAGTGGCTAAGGTTGCGGCAGCCCCACACCTGGCTCACCCTAGTCCTCTCCGTTGCAGTATAGACACAGATACTTGCTCAAGCCCTCTCAGTTCCATGGGGAACCATGTACCGACTCTGACAAGGAAGTGGAAGACTGCATCCCCAGCAGACCATGCAGAAGTCAAGTGCGATGTGAAGGCTTCCTGTGTGCACAGACAGGTAGGTGGGCATCAGAGTTGGGGGGGGTGAGGGCTTTCACATGAGACAGAAGCACATGAAGACCGAGGGACAAGCCACCAGTAGTGCTCATCAGGGTCATGGAACAGGTCAGGGGCTCCTCACATGTTCATGAAGTTTCTGCAGCATAGGAACATTATTAGCCCCTTCCTGCAACCTATTTAACTGAGACTCGGGCAGGTTACTTATCCAAGATCATGTAACAGGTACATGGAAGAAGAGCACTTAGAAACTTCAGCATCCCATTTATGTACACTGACATCAAAGTATATGCTCTCAGGATCAAAATTCCTAGGTCAGGGCTTACTTTGACTTTGTAATCTAGGAAGAAGCACCTGACTGTCTGCATTTTGGTTCCGTTGATTTTTAATCCAGAGTGATGTTAACACATTACGAATTTGTTATAAACTTCAGGTGATGTCATAGGTCTTTGTAAACTGTGAACTGTGTCAGCTCTCTAAGAGCCCAAGGGTCCACCATTCTGTTTAACTGGATGACTGAATCACTTTATCCCTGAAAAGTATCTGATATTGTCCCTATCATTCACATTTCTGCATCACCAAGTTCAGAGTAACCTTAATGCATGATATAGCTTTATTATCAGAAAAGAAGGAAAAAAGACAGATTGTCACAAGAGAGGAAGGAGAACACAAAGGAATAATTATTCACCGAGGAACCAAGTAAACAGCTATCTTTCCAGTTCATCCATTCAGCCAGTCTAAGTGGGTATGTGCCTCTCTGTTTCTCAAAATCTCTGCTCAAAACTGAGTTTACTTTGACTAAATTACCTAGATGGGAATTGGAGCTCTCCACATTCACTGCACCCATGTGGATTTGCTTCAAGACCTTTCGAAAAAGAGATAGGGGTTCATAGAGCAGTTTCTAGGGTTATTGTAAAAGCAAAATCCCATCCAATAAATCTGAGAGACTTTTTTACAGTGTATCCATGGACTCATAATGGCCATTGCTCCATGCTTCTGGCCAAAGTCGTAATGGTTATTCATGCAAGCTTTAGTTTAAATGTCTTATAAGAAACATCCGAAGACCAGATCATTATTTTTCCATTGTTAAAATCCTTGAGAACACTGCTTTAAAATGACTGATACATTGAGGGAGACAGGGCTACTCAATGTATGGACTTTATCCCCCACCAATTTACAAATAAGGACATCAAGTCAGTGGGAAAAAAAGCATAGGGGAGGGCAAAAGTGCCATCAGTAAATTTTCACAGTCCCATCAGCCATGCTGCTGAAGGCAGTGTGATCACACAGTTCCAGGTTCCAATCTCATCTGCCTACAAATGATAACTAGCAATGCACACTTCACCCACAAACACAGGAGTAGCGCAAGCCTTACTATGAACCAGTACTATTTTATCCATTCATTCACGTTCTCTGTAACATTATGAAACAGGCACGATTGGCTCCCCATTCCCAGAGGAAAAGATTGAGGCAGGGAGGTTTGGTGATGCATGCAGAGGCTTCAGCCAGTGCTGTTACTGGATCCACCAAATGCTCCTCTTTCCAGTCCCAGCAACAGAAGCTCCATGTCCCCTGCCTGGACACTTGGCCCTTGCCTCTCAGGCTCTTTCCTTTGCTCCCCACTTCCTCTTCCTTAACGGTTCCAAATAATCTCTCCCTTGTGCTTTTAGGAATAAAATGCTAGCTTCTCATGGAGGGATGTGGCAAGGGGGGAATAAACTGTTAGTGCCACTATAACTCTGCTCTGATACATGAGGATTAATCCAACCCGCACGAAAGGCTAGCAGTCCATCTGGCACCTAGTGGTGCTTCAGCTATGATACACTCTCTCTCAAGAGCCTCGTGACCCAGCAGTTCTCTTTCTTCACCCTAGGGAGGTGTATAAACCGTAGACTTCTTTGCAATGGGGACAATGACTGTGGAGACCAGTCCGATGAGGCAAACTGTAGAAGAGTTTATAAAAAATGCCAACATGAAATGGAGCAGTACTGGGCAATTGACCATCTGGCCAGTGGGTAAGCTACCACGTTCATGCTGTGTGGATGGGAAGGAATGAAATGAGATGGAATTCTGGAGAGCAGAGCAGGAGTGAACTGCTCTGTTCCTTTTCTGGTAAAAAGAGCTGCAGTGTGAGTGGGTTCCCCTCACTACCTCTGGGGACAGTTCCAACTGGCCCCAGAAGCATATCCCTTACTGACCTGGGTCACAGGACCGCTGGCTGTGGACCCCGAGATAGAGCTGTGCGAGGAAACCATAGAGGCTGCTCCAGGTCTGGGATGACTCTTTACCCTTAACAGCACTGGTGATGCAGTGCCAGGTGCTTACAAAGCACATGCCCCAGAAGTCTGTTGACAACCTGCCCTTGTGCCCCACTGCAGGCTATGAGTGTGGCTGCTGCCATCCTCTGGCTGTGTGACCTCTGAGCTCACTTAGCTATTCAGGCTCTCAGTTTCCCTATCTGGGAGGGAGGAATCATAATGACTACCTCATAAAGTGACTCTGAGGAAACTCTTCTACCCCTGTGTAAAGAGGCTGCATCCCTAAGTGGATAGCAGAGGCTCCTAAGTGGTTAAGGGAAGATGGACTTCCAAGACACATCTGTAATCAGTCTGTGTTTTGACCTGCTGGAGCTGAGTTGATGAGGTCAGAGGATCAAGGTTAGAAGGCACCAAATTGGCCTGGCATCCATCCTACTTTCAGTCTATTTCTGCAGCTTTTCAGCCTGCAGGTAAAGGAGTGTAACCCTCCTCTACTCACAGGCACCAAAAATCATTATTGCAAACTGGGCATGGTATTGCAAACCTGTAACTCCAGCACCCTGGGAGACTGGAGCAAGAGAATCGCATGTTGGAGCCCAGCCTGGGCAGCTTAACGACCTAGAGAGAACTTGTTTCAAAACAAATAAAAAAGGAGCTGGGGATGGCTGTGGAAAGGCCTTGAATTCAACCCCCAGTACTGTGAAAAAAAATCATCATTATTAAGTTATGCAGCCTGGGAGATTCAGTGATCCTGAATGAACTTCAGCTCTGCTCTAACCAAACAGCAGATCTGAGAGAGAAACTCTACATGGTTAGGAGGGCTTTCTCAGAACCACCTCACAAGCTAGTCATTGGATCCTCCCTCCACAGAGGGAAACTGAGGGCCTGGTATCTAAGTGAGCTCAGAGGTCAGACAGCCAGAGGATGGCAGCAGCTGCGCTGTGGGTGCAGCCTGCCGTGCGGCACAAGTAGACCCTGAGGAGGCACTACCCCTGGAAGGAGCAGGAGGGCTGAGGAAAACAGTCAGCGAGGGCCAGGGTGTCCAGGTGAGTCAACAGTGGGTGGAGGTGAGGCTGCAAAGCTGCAAAGCCGGGGCCAGACACCAAGGCCGTGTGTGGGGGGCCACAGGGATTCTGCTCTCACTCAGCGAGGGCTGAGGCCCAGAGTCCTAACCATTTCCCATGGCTGTGTCTGCCTCACAGGATAAACTTGTTCACCAACAGTTTGGAGGGTCCGGTTCTGGATCACAGGCACTATGCTGGGGGGTGCTCTCCTCACTACATCCTGAACACGAGGTTCAGGAAGCCGTACAATGTGGAAAGCTACACCCCACAGGTAAGGGGCAGCCAGGAGCCACTGTGGCACAGGGAGGGCATTGATGAGGACCTGCAGCCTCCTACGAAGTGACTTTGGACACATCACTCTTCTCTTGGAATTTCCTGTTGCCTTGTGTACTGAGGGTGGTCCATTCCCCTGTGCTGAGGAGGACGTGCTCTCAGCAGTGACAGCAGGAGTTGTGGTAGCAGGAGGGGCACCAACAGTAACATCAATGGCCACTCTGGAGACAGGAGCGCAGCTTAGGGTTTGGGGCCATCCACTGCTACCTATGCAACCTCATGTGCTCTTCAGCTTCTGCTTCTCTATCTTTAAGTTGGGGGCAAAAAGGTTCTACCCAAGGGAAACATCATTAGTGGGCTTAGCACAGCTCCTGGTTTAATGGTGAGTCCTCCGTCCAAGCTAACTCTTCTGGTTACCATTATTGCCAGGTACCTGCCTACCAAACCAGGCATTGTTAGAAGCATTCAGCTATAAAATGTAGCGCTGATGTCAGCCCATGCAGTGAGTCATGCACAAGCTTAGAAGCACGTCTCTCAGAGTGCGATTTAGCAGAGACTGGGTTCCTGTGTCACACACACATTTGCCACCAGATAAGGCTCCAGTTGTACTTTAGGCTAAGCTCCTTTCCCAGTCCTTACCTGTAAATGAGGTGGTTGGACTACACAGTCCTGATGGCAATCTCTGGGTCCAACATGCATAGCTCTCAAGGTTGGGCACTACCTCCCTCCACCTTGATCTCTCCCTGTCCTGGAAGCCCCCATGGTTATTGGCCAATAAAAGCACAAAAGCAGCATGGGGACCAGGTACATTTTCTATGAGGCGCCCGACTCACCTCTACAGCCTCTAATGTCAGAGGAACTGTGCCTCCTCTGGGTTGAAGTGTTCTGATCTAGGCTCAGGCTTCCCTCACGCTTACCCATCCAACCCTCATGCAGTTCCAGAATGACAGCATAGGCCTCAGCTGTTGGGTCATGGTTGCATAAGCTCCCATGCCAGAGCAAATAATTAAGACCCCAGTGACCTCTCACAACCCCTATGGATTCTGCTCACTCTTACATCTTCTGATTCAATCACAAAAACACCACTGTGCCTCCTCGAACATATCCTACTCTTTCTGACTTCCCTGGCTCTGTGGAATCCAAACTCAGAATACCCCTAGCATTTCCACCAGCAGAAATCCAAGTCAAGAATGGATGTCCAAGCCCTACTACAGCACTGAGTAGGTCCATCTCCCCTACTGGCTCAGGAGCCCTGATTTTCCTGTGTCTAGAGCTTCTACTCCAGCCCTAGCACACAGTAAGAATACAGTGGATGTCTGTGGAATTGGTTTGAGTCAAAAGAAATGAAAAGCATTTTATCTTCTCTTTCTTCAGACACAAGGCAAATATGAATTCACACTGAAAGAATATGAGTCATACACAGATTTCGAACTCAATGTCACAGAGAAAGCAACTAGCAAGTCTAGCTTCAGCTTTGGTTTTAAAATACCAACTGTATTTGAACTTGGCATCAATATGGAAACTGATCAAGGCAAGAATTATATTAGTAGAATCAAACAATTCACTGATACCGTAAGTAAGCTTTTGTTGCTTTTACACTTATGTGTATTCTTTTGAACTTTCATGCCCACAAATATGTCTGTACTTCATATTACTCCCAGCACTAACACTGATGACATTTCTGTTGTCCTGAAAATCTTTCCATTAAAAAATAGCTTGGCTTTTTATTACATTACTTTTTAGAGAGGCCAAACAAAGATGACCTTCCATAATCATTTCTGCTGTTTCTTAGGAAGCACTTCTCTTTATTTGTGAATAAGCTTAAGGTGTCAGAACAAAACATCTAGGGAGATTTTTTTGACCTACTACAATCTGACTTCTGTCCCAGACACATGTCTGGAATGTCACCCATGACCTCTCTGACTTCTCAGAGCATTCGGTGAGTTGCACAATTCTTCCCTCTCTTCTGATTTGTTTCTGCTCCTCCATCAATTTCCTTCCTGAGCCAGTGTCCATGCCATTCTTATTTTGTCACTGTCATCTTTCCTTCTTACTCTACCATCATCCTGTGCCTCTTCTACTTGCCTGTCCCTGCAGAGGCCAGCCATGAGTCATCAGTGCTGCTTCTTCCCTTCTTGATGATCTCCAGATCAGCTCCACCAATCCTGTGGAGAGCCTCACCTGAAGGCCTTGCCCACACAATGAAGAAGACTTATCCTTCTGGATCTTCAATCTATATTAGTGGTATTTCTCTCATCTGTTTTTCCAAGCTTTAGAATCATATTTGGCTCTTATTTCTGCTCCATTTCATTTTGGGCACTGTTAATGTTTGTATCTAGATATCCCCTCAAAGCCTCATGCAGTCATGGATGTGAGGGCAGGCTTTGCTGAGATGCCTGAATCTAGAGTTTGTGAGTGGTTCATTGGTTAGTGCTGGGATTGCGGAGTGTGAGTGCTACACACGCTCCAAAGAAGGTGGCCCTCAGGCAATATAAGAGACTTTCTCCTCTCTTTCACTCTTGTGGCTTTTGGTATCTTTTACCACAATGAACTATTTCTACTCTTCCATGCCACCCTGCCTTGGTGCCAGCTGATTATGCACTGACACCTCCACAAACTGTGAGCTAAATAAACTTTTCTTCCCTTAATTTTGGACATCGGATGTTTTGCCTCCTCAATGAGAGAAAAGTCACTAAGACAGTCACTAAATGCTTCAGTATTAGTCTTTGACTTCTTATCCTAAATCCTGTTTCATCTTAGGCTGCCCAGACCCTGTCATCCCTTGTTCTGCCCAACCAGCTTCCCTGTCTTCCAAGTTGCTTTTCGCATACATACTCTGCTAGGTAAGTGTTTCTGTGACACCAGTCCAATCATGCTATCTGCTCCTGTTACCCAAAAGATGAAGGACAAAACTGGTTCTCTGGGGAGAGAGGAGAAACGAGTAGAAAACGATTATGCTGGGGAGATCTGAGGATCCCTGGACTCCAGGGGAAGAAGTGCATTTTATTCTCTAGCCAGTGAGAGTTTTCAACACAGGAGTGATACAATAGAAAACTAATCGGAGCGGGATATGAAAAGATGAAAACTGAAACACAATGACCCACATGAGAAAAATGATCCACAGAGGAGTTCAGAAAGGTACTTGCTACAGGAGGTGAGCCAGTAGGAAATACGTGGTCAACAGGAGCCAGACTAACACCATCTCTGATTCTCTTCCTCCACCTTATAGGCTGCAAACTGCTTGGGGGCAGAGGCTCATTTCTTTATCTTTAGACAAGAATGACCTTCAGCAGGTGCTCAGGACTGAGCCATGGTCACAAAGGACAGGACAGACTATTGGCCAGGCGATAGTGGTTTGCTTTCTTACCCTCTCCTTCTCCCACTCCTCACCTGCCAAGTTCTCACTGATGCTAATATAGTGCCAGGCGCTGTGCCAGAGACTCGAGATCTGATCACAAGTATCATGTGATTACTTTTTTCCACTGGAACTTACTTTATTGATTTTAAATGTGTTCACAATGATCAAGTTGACGAGATCAGCATTTCCGTCTCCTTAAATGTTTATCACTTCTTTCTGTTGGGTAACTTTGAACTCCTTTCCCTAGCTGACTATAAAACCTGAACTAAGTCGTTCTCGCCTTCGTGTTCACAGCTCAGAGGAAGGTAAGCATGTGAATGGATCTGCCATTCTTAAGTGTTCCTGTCAGTAACACAGTACGCTGTGTGCTCTGAAGAAGATAGAGCGAGGTAGAGTTCAGTATTATGAAAGGAGGATGCATCTGGGACAGGCGGGACGGCACCCAGGAGGAGGCAGTGGCCAAGCAGGGATCTGAGGGGTAAGTGGAGTGTGAGGTAGCAAGAGAGGGAAGGAGTGTGCCGAGGCCAGAGAGGCTGCTGGGGAGACAGGCGTGGTGAAGGGTGTGTATTCAAAGTAAGGGGCTTGGTTTTATCCTGGAAGCAACAGTGAACCAGCGTGGGGTTTTAGGTCTGAGGAAGCATCATTGTGATACTAGCAGTGTTGGGACACCGACTCCAACTGGGGCAGTGGAAGCAGGCTAGAGAGAGAAGGGCCCAGCAGGGCAGCCTGCCTAATGGTATTTCAACCTAAGTAACCATCACTGACATTCCAAAGATAATAAGGTCTACTTGGGAAGCTACAGCGCGGCGATAGCAGTGTGACCTCCACCATAAACAATACCCGTAGTCAAGGAGGTTAAGCAAGGGAAGCATTTCAAGGCAACACTGAAAAGGACTACGTAAGATATTTTAAACATAAATCCTTGGCCATGAGGACTGACACGTGGCTGAAATCAGTTCGAGGTTGAATAATAGCTGCAGATGAATGTCCTTAAAGGAATACTTTTTGTGTAAAGCAGTGGTAGTCTTTGCTATTTAGGCAAAGACTTGTGACAGTCACCAGTACTGGGCGAGTATCCATAGGATTCCTCTCTTCATAGCCTCCTACTTTCATTTATTTTTAGTTGCTTATTTTCACTTAGTGTGGACACAATCAACTCCATTTTGTTTCTGACAACTTTTACAAACCTGAGACCCTAAACAGTGGTTTCCAACTTTTTTGTCACAGGGACAGTTTTCATGAAGGACAATTTTATGTGGACTTTAGAATAGGGGAGTGGTTTAGAGATGATTCAAAGTAGCACACAGCTGAGGTCTCTCACAGGCTTAGTTCATGGTGGGATTTTGTGCTCTTAAGAATATAATGCCTCTGCTGATCCGGAAGAGGTAGAAGAGCTCAGGTAGGAATTCCCGCTATGACGACTGGCTGTAAAAACAGATGCCCTTTCTGTGGCTTGACTTCACCTCTTCCTGTGCAGCCTGGCTCCTGAAAGGCCCTGTGCTGGTACCAACCTATGGCCCAGGGGTTGAGAATCTCTGACCTAAAAGATTTCGAAAAGTCATGAACAGAGTCCCAAGTGACCACTTGGATAGACAGCATAGGACCAAAGAGTCACGAGCCACTGAGCTAAGCCAGTATGGGATGCAAACAAGCCAGGAAGCAAACAGGACCTAGTGAGAAACCCACAAATGGATGGACAGAGCTGAATGCTTTAGAATTGGAACAGAATGTACCTCACAGATATGTCTGCTTTCTCCTGTTCCTCTCCCTACACCCTTATTATGGCCTTCTCTCAAATTGTAACACCTACTTGTATTTCACCAGCATTGCCAACTTTCAGTCTACCCCATACCTCAGGAAAACAGTAAACCTTTGATGTACAAGACCAGATGGTAAACAGTTCAAGCTTTTCAGAACCATAGGGTATCTGCTGCAACTCCTCAACTTTGCCACTGTAATGTGACATTAGAATTTACTTTTGCAGACAATGTGGAATGAAGGCAATAAAACTTTATTTAGCAGACCATGTACTGTGTTTGGTGCGCAGACTGCAGTTTCCTGAGCCTGCCACACATGAACATATTGAGCCACCCTGCTGGATCACGTTTAGTTTTTCTTCAGTGGTTTTCCTTCAGAGTTTAAAACCACAAGTAAATAGGTTGGGATTGTAGGTGAGCCAAGCTGGCTCTCATCAGAGCAGGACCTGGCCCCCTTGGCCCACCCTGCCTGTTTCTGTCTGCCTTGCACAGTGCTTGCTGTAGTAAGGAAGGGCATTCAAGCAAGCTCTTCCAAACTGAAAAGGACATTGTAATACGTACGGGAGCTGAGAGTTTGTCAAAGAGACTGTCTTCCTGCATATATCCTGAAGGAATCATAAAAGCGACAACGCTGGGCCACGAACATCAGATGATATTGGTGAAGTTCATTTTCTTGTTCCAGATTCCTAACTTTAAAGGTCTGGTTTTCCCGTGTTGGTATTTCATGTAGAAAAGCAAGTTTCTGCATGCACGCTCTGACCTTGATGTGGCACATTACAAGCTGAAGTCGAGAAGCCTAATGCTGCATTATGAGTTCCTGCAGAGAGTCAGGCAGCTGCCCCTGGAATACAGCTATGGGGAGTACAGAGATCTCTTCCGGGACTTCGGCACCCACTACATCACAGAGGCCGTGCTCGGCGGCGTTTATGAGTATACACTTGTGATGAACCAAGAGGCCATGGAGCAAGCAGGTGACTGCCCAAGGGACATGCTTTCCTGATGGCGTGAGTCTCATCCTGCTGTCAGAAGAGAAGTTTTAAGTCACGCTTCTGGCTTTCTGGCTGCCAACCTGGCTGTACCCTCATAGCTGTATTTACAGAGCCTCTTCCTCTAACTGTGAGCGTGAGTGCTCCCAGACTTGCCTTCTGTCTGAGATGTCTCTTCTGACTCTCTCTGTGTAGTCCCACTCCATGCCACACCTTTAAGTGCTTTCAGCAAGCAGATAGCTCCTCACACAGCCCCCCTGAATCCCTTCCAAAAGTTTATGTGAAAATGTCTCCTTGGTAACTCCATGCCAAGGTCAAGTACCCACCACATGCTCCACAAACAGAAGTTTTGGTTTTCTTTTGCAAATATGGTTCTTCTATATGAGTAACATCTCAGAAATAGTTCCACAATGCAATTAGTGGCTCAAGACAAAAACCTAGGGATCTACCTCAATTATTTTTCTTTCCTTCCAATGTATTAGTGTATTCCATCAGTTTTACTTCCAAATTATATTTTGTGTTTTTAATGTTACTGCCAGACACTGATCCTATGACCACTGACTCCCATGCAAACTTTAATGTGAATGTGAGTTAAAGAAGACATGGGTTCCAATTAGGTAGGTTTGTAAAGAGACTCAAAATGCTGAATTTCTCCCAGGCTTAGATTTGATGTTGGTGCTTCTTGTCCACAGACTACACTTTCAGGAACAAGGCCACAAATTATTTCCATAGTCTTCAGGCTAATATTAAATCCTCAAGCCTTAGAACTTATCAGATACCCCAGTCTTTATGATCATCATCAATGCCAGTGTGGGGTGAGACCTGCACTCCAGGCCAGCATTCTGCCCTCCCATGCAGCCCTTGTCAGGTGATGTGACTTACCACAGGGCACAGTTTACAGAACTGAGCCAAGGCTGTTACAGGCCCAATATGCTGGCAGGCATATAATGGCATATAATGTATGTTTGTGTGAGTGTGACCTCCATCTTGTCATGATTGGGATACCTTTCTCTGTAACAGTGCTCCTATGAGTGAGTCAGGGAGGGCAGATGGGCTGCGGCTGCACTGTCCTCACTGGAGAGACCTACAAAGAGACTTACAAAGGAGTCCTCCTCTTAGCGGATGACTGAGCACTTCTCCTTTGTGAAGGCATCCAGCATTCTACGAGAAGGGTGAAACAGGAAGATGAGCCTGATCTCTATGAGGTCCTTATGGCTGCCTACACTTCTTGTTATCAGGCTGTTTATTTCAACCCAAGTCCCTGGGACAGCCAGGAAGTGTGAGGCTGCTAGAGTCAACCTCAGGAAAGGGGACAGACTGAATTACCGTGGAGGTCACAGACCTCTTTCCTTGCTTCCTTCAGATTATTCCCTTAATGACATCCTTGACTGTGCCAAACATGATTTCCGAATTGGTGGTAACATCAAAGGTGTCAGCGTCAAGTTGGGTGTGTCAGATGACAGATGTACGAAGATCCTCAGTGAAATCAAAGGTGAGAGATGGGCTATGTGTCTTCCTTGCTTGTACTCACTCCCTCCATCATGCTCCTGGTCCTGGTTTTCCCATAGCTAAGTACTAGACACGTCGGGGCATTTCAATTAAAATAATAACCCAGCCAATAAACATCCACTCAGCTCGTACTGTGTGCTGATATACAAAATGAATCCATTGCTTACTATCGGCACCGCACCCACACGTGGTAGGTGAAAAACAGAAGGATCAAAGGCAACTGGAACCTCAGGGAGGACTGCCTAGGGGAGAAAGTCTGGGAATGACAACTTGAGAACAAAGTGTTAACACTGTAGTCATGTATAGGCCAGAAGAATGACCCAACAATATCATTCCGCTGAGGGACTGAGCTGGCCTAGCCAGGAGTCGGATGCTGGGGCCCGAGGCTAGAGGAAGACAGTAGCCCCTGGAGTAAAGGGTGATAGGGAGATGATGGAACAGGCCAAGCTACAAGTCAGATTGCAGAGCCCAAAGGACAGGAAGGGCCAGACCTGAGATGGAGATTGAGCCAGTTGAGCTACAGAGCTACATGTCCAGGAGCAGGGAACTGAGGAAGTGATCCAGGGAACTGGGACTCAAGCAAGCAGTGTAGGAAGGCAGCTGATGAGCAGTGCTTTGGTCTCTAGCTCTCTGTGTTCAACAGATTTCTGTTTTCAGCTGTACTGCCTGCTAGACTGGTGCCTGGGTCTACCTGTGAAGAGCCCCACAACTGAAACAAAACACAGTAAAATAACCACCACAGAAATTAACTGCGTGTTATGTTATATATTTGGATGTCCCCTCAAAGCCTCATGCAATCATAGGTGGAGCTTTTCAGCAGTGACTGGATCTCAGCTGTGTGATCCTGGGATTCAGGATGTGATGCTTGGATTGATTCCTAGTGCAATGCTCGGGTTAGGGTGCCTCACTCCAGGAGTGAGTGCTACCTGCTCTTAGTCTAGATAGACTCTAAGGGACATAAAAAGGTCTGCTTGTATCACTCATCACTTGCTGCTTTCTGCTTTTGCTGCCTTCTACCCACCATGGATTTTTTTCTCCTTTGCAATGCCCCTCTCCTATGACACTGCACTGAAGCCTGGACCAGCTATGGACTGAATCCTCTACAAACTGTGAGCTAAATAAACCTTTTGTCCTTTGCATGGCAGTTATTTTGTCTCAGTAATGCGGAAAGTAACTAAGACACTAGTACTCTATAGCAACCGTTGCACTTGAGGCTGACTCGCTCACATTGTTTGTCTGTTCTTTGTGGTGAGCTGAGTGTGTGGAACATAGATTCTCCTTAAAGGAAACTTGTAAAGCTCACCAAATAGACTGCTGCTCCGCAGCAGCCTTCAGCCCCCGTTGACCACACTCTTTCCCTTTCTGAGACAGCCTATAACTATCCCTGCTTCTAGATGAACTATGTCCCTTTCTGTCTCCAGAGTTTTAGAACCAAATGTGTCACTTACAATATGCCTTTGTGGTGCTCGTTTTTTTAAACTTGAGTAGAATTTAAGTTTTTTTCAGTCCCACATTTTTCATTTCACATCATGCTTTTGGATATATCCATAGTTAGTTAACTTCCATTGTTATGTAATCTTTTATTGTAGAAATACATCATCTTTTCTTTGTTGGCCTATTGATGGTTATTGGGATTATTCCTTCTCTCAAGCAATTATAACCGATACTTAATTTCATACACATTCAAATCAGAATGGGAATGGCTCACTATTATTACTGAAAGATTTTGGGGCAACTCCATGGGAAGGTAAGCTAATAATCACTGTGTAGGAGGAACTGTTTAGTAAGCATGTGTTACACAGACAGCTCGTTCTCCACAAAGCATAACGCTTCAGTCATCTCCCATACATGGCATCTATCTTAGGCCTTAGGCTGCCTTTACCACACTTGGTTATCTTATCTGTAAAACAAAGCTTATGTTGTTACTGTTGGATATTGAAGATTAAAATACATCTGCATATGCAACATTCAGGCCAATGATTGACATAAGTGGTCAATAACTGCTAATTGTTATGGTTTCATTTACTCTTTACTTGATGCAGAGGATCCATTTTATATATGAGGGGGAAAAAATGATTTGCTCAAGACACAAAGGGAAACCCTTTCAGGCTTCTATGTGTGTGCAGGGTGACAGGGGTGAGAGGTGAGGTTCAGTTTTCCCTGGGCGACCTCCACCACCTCCACCTCCAGGGACCAGTGTGGTGACAGGAATACCATTTGACCCAGGAGAAGATGCTGTCAAACAGGGCCAGCTTTATTTACAATTTGGCTGTTTCAGTTGCTGGCTATGTAGGCCTAGGCAAGTGTCTTAATAATTCCAGGTATGAAGTTCATCATTTGTCAAGTAGAGTTAATAATGCTTGGCTCATACAACTTCTGTCAAGTGAAACAAAATATTGCAGCCTAACTGTCTACCTACCTACCTATTTGTCTACCTATTTACCAATCTATTACCTGTCTTTTATCATAATCCGTCAGTCTCATCTGTCATCCATCTGTTTAACAATCCATTATGTATTTATACTGCCCCTCCCCGCACTAACTCCATGCCTGGCCCTTGTGCATGCTGTGATGGATGCGCTTTCCTCCTCCTGCCCCTGACTTGTAGCGGATGTGACCAGATGAGCAATCCTTTAGCTCCACTCCTCTTGACTTCTTCATGGGCAGGAATGTATCTTATTCTCCCATATCTCCCAGCAACCTCAGTGAATATCATGGCACCCAACTTGTAGTTGAGCTGTGGAAAATTCCAAGGTGTGCAAGTGGATCCTCTTGTGACATGCCAGCTCTTCCTGTCCTTTCCAGACAGAAATAAGAGGAGCACCATGGTGGAGGACTTGGTGGTGCTTGTGCGGGGAGGGGCAAGTGAACACATCACCACCCTGGCCTACAAGGAGCTGCCGACCGCTGAGCTGATGCAGGAGTGGGGAGATGCTGTGCAGTACAACCCAGCCATCGTCAAAGTGAAGGTACTCCAGTCATCCCACCCACGCCCGCCTCCTTTACAGAGGCCCACATGAGCCAGGGTATGGAATGCAGGTCAGTAAGATGCAGCCCTGATCTTGAAACATATTCATTACAGTAGAGAATGTATCTGGGATGAACAGATTAGAACCTCCTGCTGAGTCCTATATGGAGACCCATCTCCTTCCCACTGGGTCCCCAGGTTGCTAAAACCCTGCTGAAGAGTCTCTGTAGATAGGAGAACTGACTTCTTTCCTCCCCTGTAGATATTCTTATGGGTTCAATGGATTAAAAAATAATGATCCCAACCACGCGTCACCAAAACAAGAAGAGATCTCCAATCTTAAACTAAAAGGACCTTTGTTGGAACAGGACTATCACATGTATCGGTGAGATAGGTGCCGCTTATGGGAACTTCAGCATGGCGCCCAGAGCCTACCTTACACTGCACTCTTCTCACTGGTGTCTGCAGTCACTGTGGGCCATTGTCCACCTGCTGAGCATCCTCTTTTCAGTAACAGGCGAGGACTGAGTCTGACACTTTGACGAGATGCTGTTGTCTCCAACCCTGGCAGTTTCCCACAGTATCTTTATGTGTCAAATGCAAAGTTTCTGCAGAACAAGAAAGCTGCCACTCACATCTTCTCCTCTGCACTTCCTCAACAGTGACACCCTGGGCACAGTCCCTCTGATCACAAGAGGGAGTGAGGCAGTCAAGGGAGGCTGGCAGCTCCAGAAAACTCTGGGCTTGACTGATGTCTGGTGACAATGGTTGACATCACAGCAGGACATGGGAGAGACCAGAGAGTTCAGGGAGAATAGCTTCCTGGGTTTTGATTTTTGCTGAAGTATCTCTTCTGAATATTTTTGAAAACTGACAACAAAGGGAAAGCCCTGGTTGTTCAGTGAGGTTGGGTTACCTGCCTGGGCACAGGCAGGGGTGTCAAATGCCAAGCATAGACGTCACCCAAAGTGAGTTAGAGAATCTGTGCTGTTTACAGGGAGTGCTGTAGGAGTGGGCAAGGCAAAAGGGTTAAAGGTGACTGTCCACCTTTGCACCTGCCTGACCCGTGTTGGAGACATACATTCAGGTGTCTTCACTTCTATGCACAGTTTCTGGGAAGAGAAAGCTGCATAAGGCTTCCCATTATCTCAGAATAATTCTCTGCAGAGCTAGCTTACCAAGGACTGTAGTGACAATTGATTTTCTAGCTCACTAGATAAGCAATTCCTAGATACAAGAGTGTTGGCTAACGCTTGAGTACATTAATGAGTCTCTGAAACCGAGATCTGAGACATGATTTCTATAGCCATCAAATAGGCAGGGAAGGAGACCACAGAAGAGCCTGTTTGCACTATTTACTGGTAAGCCAGACGTGGGGAGGTGGCTCTTGGTTCCAGGAGGAATTAAGAAACAGCAATAGACATATAAAGAGGTTTTGAACATGAAAGATTGAAATTATGTTCAAGCTGCAGAAAATAAGCATATGTCTATAAGACAGAAAAATAGAAATAAATTCTAGAATGCATTTTCTTTGTGATGATAATATATTCAAGAAAATAAAGAATTTATCAAATAAAAATAGCTGAGATGTTTAGACACTAATCAGATGAAAGAGAAGTGGCTAAACATGGGAAAGCAAAAGCACAATAGCAGAATTAAAACCCGCATTGGAAACTATAAAGAACAGAACTGACACTGCAGAAAATTGAGTCAGTGATGTGGAAGGTGCCATAAAAAATGTTCTTATAATACAGAAACAAAAGACAAAGAGATTAAAACAATGACAGAAAAGAAATATGATGGATAGAGTACAGAAGTGAAAATCTAAAACACAAAGACTTCCTTCTGAGAAAGAGACAAGATTAAATGTGAAGACACATTAATCAAGGCCATAATAGGAGAGGGTTCTGTGAGCTGATGATACAAAATGAGCAGCTCATTGAAAACTAGGCAGAAGTCCTGAAAACAAAACGAAACGATCCTGAAACACATCGTGGTGAAATGTTTTGTTTTTAGGAACAAACATAACCTACAGGAATAAACTCAACCTGTCCGTAGAAGTTTACACTGTGAAATGCCCAAAGGTAAAAAAAGCAGCAACTGTTAGTTCTGAAGGAAAAAGCTGGTGACTTGATCAGATGGCCGCTAACAGGTGAAGAATTTCAAAGACACTGGCAGGTCAGGAAGGAATCACAAAAAGTTTCACCAGACTTAGCAAATATCCAGTTAAATTTGAATTTCAGATAAACAAGGATTAATCTTTTAGTGTGAGCATTTCCCGAATATTGTGTGGAACACAGTTATTCTTTTAAAAAATGATGCTTATCAGATATTCCAGTGTAATGGAGTGTCTTGTATTTAAATGGTGATCTGAGGCATGATGTCTCTCTCTCAAGTGCATTTCTGCATTAAGTCAGGGTAGCCAGACCGCAGGCTGATGCAGAAACAGTGTCTGGGGCACTGGCACTGCCTGGGCTAGAAAGAAAAACATGATACTGAATGGTCTCACGTAGCAATCAGGACACTGAGGTCACATACAGAGAAATGACCTTCAAACCTCAGTCCAGCAGAGCCTACCTCTCAGTTACACAAGATGTGGAGTAAGGGTTACTGAGCGGACTGTGTTCTGTGTGCTTACTCTGGGATCCCTATGAGGGGACTTTATGCTGGCATCAGCTTCCAAGATCTCCAAGATCTTCTTGCCCTGAACTGAAAATTTCAGCGGAAGTGATTTTCACTGGTTAGAGCAAGTCACATGGCACACATGCCTGTAAGGAGGGGAGTCCTGCCACGGGCAAGGCTGCCTTTGCAGAGCTGCCCCTCTAATGTGGGCAAGTCCACCATCGAGCAATTTCAGTCCTACTATGTGCAAGCATGCCCCTGAGAAACTGTGGCCCTGCTATGTGCAAGTCCATCTTTGAGGAATTTCAGTCCTAGTCTGTGCAGTCACGCCTCTGAGAAACTGGAGTCCTGCTATTTGCAAACCTGTCCTGGAGGCACTGTCGTCCTATCATGTACAAGTTTTCTCTGAGGAACTTCAGCCCTACTATGTACAAGCCTGCCCTTGAGGACTTGCAGCTCTCCTATGTGTTAACTGCCTCTGAAAAATTGTAACCCTTTTTGAAAGCAAGTTACTCAAAGATTTTCTAAAAGCAAATATTCCCATCCATGAGAACATTTAAAGAATGCCAAAATTAGGCTGATAGAGTTCACTTCCAAAAAAAAAAAACCTTCAGAATTTCAAATAAGTACAAGTAAATTGTAGATAACACACACAAAAAATATTTTTTGCCACAAAGGTATTTCCCAACATGTGGCAATTTAACAGAAAGAGACATTTCAAAGGAAATGGACAAGCTTCAGTAGGCTAATAAACATACAAAAATTTTAACCTCTCTAGTAGTAAAAAAATAAAAAATTTAAGTTACAGCACAATTTTATTCCTCAATTGTCCAGTTGATGATGATTAAAATCTATAATACTTAAGAACACAGAGGGTGAGGAAATGGGCACTTTGGGGTGAGGATAGGATGTGGCTGCACCCTTCAGGGAAGAACATATGCGCGGATCTCCGTTTTTAAATTCTTAGCTTTGGATTCAGTAACACCAAATGCAAGGGTCTGCTAAAGAGCTAGTTTGAAAACTTGGAAACAATGTGCATATAAAGACATTCATTTTTGGCTATAATAGCAAAAGGAAAAAAGAAAAGGAAATACCTTAAAGGCGCGAGGGCAGAAGAGCTGGGTCCACTGCAGCTCCCCAAACAGCAGGCTCCTCAGAGGTCACAGAAAGCCATGGCAGGGAGTGTTTACTCGTGAGAAGTGAACAGAGTGTTATAAGATCACACTGATGCACCAATCTGGTGTAAACATCTGTGTATCCGCTTCTCTAAAAATACATTCCCAGAGGAAAGAGACCCATGCAGGACCAGCCCAGATCCCTTCCTGCTACCTACTTACAAGTGAATTTTGTCAGTCCTCCTGTTTCCTGAGCCTCCGCCTGCCTTTCACAATGAGGAAACTGACGACTACCCCTGCTAAGACTGCTGTGAAGGCGAGGTGATGTGTGTGAGCTGGAAAGTTCAGCACCCCACACACCCTAGCTCTGGTGACATCACTAAAGGGCCATGTCCCACTGTGCTTAATAGAGATTGCCTAGCAGTTCCTTGCAGCAATATGGTGAGTATCGCCTTCAGAGGAGAAGGGGTACTTAGGGTTGAGTATTTGGGGAAATGTACAGGGTAAACAGGAAGAGAAAAAGAGAGAAAGGGAGAGAAAAGGAAGAAAAAGGGAAGAAAAGAGGAGGAAGTCTTTAAAAAAAAAAAAAAAAGAACAATAAAGCAACAGGAGCCCTAAGCTGTATCCTCAGGTTGAAAGGGGAGCTGTGGAGTGTGGCAGTATGGCTGTTAGGTTCCAAGAGAACCACCACCATTAGCAAAATTGGGGGAACTCTGGAGTCCAGATTGGCAGTGGGAGTAATCAAGTTGTTTTTATCAATGCTGTAGTCATAGTGAAGGAGGAGGAAAACACTGGCCTTGGACTAGAATCTTGGCCTTATATTATTTTATGAGTTGTGTGGCCTTGCTCAGGTTACTTATGCTTTCCAGAAAATGGGGTTAATCCTCGATACTATGTGAGGTAAAGGAGACCCTATTAGTGGACCCCTGGGGCCCACATATCTGGAGCAGGCTTTCTGCAGAGAGTTTATTCCAGTGTGGCTGTTGGTGACTCCTCTGCTTCCGTGTGCAGTCTCGGTGCTGGTAGGCAAAGGCCAAGGTGGTTAAGGGCCGCACGTTGAGGTGTCGGGAGCAAAAGCAAGCTGTTAGAAGAGCTCCACCTTGGAGTAAAGCAAGCAGCCCCTCCCCTCCACTGCGGCCCCCTCCCTGTGTGTGACCAGCAGGCCGGACAGTTCTGCAAATAGCCGTTGGATCAATTCATTGACCACAAGCCGGTGAGACAATGGGACCACCAAGGGCTTGCTTTGCCCACTGGTGTGAAGGTCAGCATCAGATGCATTAAGAAATGGAAGCAATTTTCTTCCCACTGGAGGCTTCTATTAGACATGATTGCCTGCATTTAGGGGGACCCTAAACTCTCCAGTGGGCTGGACTGGGGCAGGATCATAACCAAAATCTGGAGAGGAACCTGGCCCTGGAGCCAGAGCCAAGAGAGGCGGCACACGTCTGATGCTCTCTCCAGACCTTGTCTCTGGTCTTCTCACCCACACACCCACCTCCATGAGGGCCTGGCACCTGCACTTTCTGCAGCTGTGTTTCTGACAGCTGTAACCCAGCTTCTGCTGCTGTCATGTCCTACTCAGGCCTCCATCCCCTGGCATTTGTCCCTGATGGCAGTGAAATCTAATTTTTCATGGAAGGAAGTACTTGGGAAAGGCTTCCTGACATGATAGGAATGTTTCTAAAAGGTCTGGAGGGACAGTGGTGTTGGGACAATAATGCTAAAGTACATTTAAAGAGCTGCTGGACCCCAGTCCGGGGCCCAAGCATCACGTACTCCCTCTCACCTACTCTCTGCTGCAAGTTCTGCTATCACTGCTGTGACGCTTCTCGGCATACTATGGGATTAAACCCATTGTAAACTGAATATATCATAAACTGAAGATGCATCTGGTACAGCCACTCTGCGGGACATCCTAGCCTGGAATTGCAGTATTGTAGGGTCAGAGGTTCGTTGTGATGGTGGCCAGGTAGGAGCTGGCTTGAGCCTTGTCGCAGCTGCCCAATGGTACACAATAGACTCGTGCAGCAGAACACTGCAGTACTCCAGAAAATGGTCACAGTGTTACGAAATGCAGCTCATCTGTGTCCTCTCCCAGAGTTGAAATACCACCTAAGTCAGATATGGTCTATAATCCTCTCAGGAGTAGGAGTTTTGTTATTTATGCTGAATATCTTGCACTTACTTGTTTGGTGTTTGTTGATCTGAACTGGGATGAGCTAATCTGTGCAGATGGCGTGGAGAAACAGAGCAACCTTCCTGTTCCAGAGGACTCACAACCAGTTTCCATACCACCCCCTACCCATGGTGGTCTGGCTTCAGGCCTCATTCAATGAATGTTTTTTCTTGAAATCCATCCTCTTTTTTCCCTGTAGGTAGAGCCTCTGTATGAACTAGTGACAGCCTCGGATTTCGCCTCCTCCAGCACAGTGAGACAGCATATGAAGCAGGCCCTGGAAGAGTTCCAGAGGGAAGTCAGCTCCTGCCACTGTGCCCCTTGCCAAGGCAATGGAGTCCCTGTCCTGAAAGGTACCATTTCAAGGCTGCTGGGGTCCCTGGGGGGCTGTTATCTGGAGGAGCCTGGCTCTGGGGTGAGCTGTTTGCCAGCTTCTGTTTCCCAAGGAGGCAGGATGGAGGCAGCTAGGGGACACTCCTCCAGCTGTTAGGATGCCTGGGTTCCAGCCTCAGAGGCACAGTGAGTGACAGGAGCAGTTAGTTGAGGTCTGAATGCAGCTGAGAGCACATGGTGGCCGTAGACCCAGGGAGCCTGACCAATATGAGGTGAGATTTGAAGGCAGCAGCAAGGATCAGCCAATAGAATTGAGTGAGAACTCCTGGGACCACTGCAGTGGGTGGGGAAAACTGGGAGGGGTGGTGGCTGGGAATACCCTGCTTCCACTGTGAAGGGTTACCAAGGCACTGGGCAGGGTCCAGCCTAATACCCCAACCGGGACACCTGAAGCCTTTGATTATAGCCAGTTGTGGCCCATGTGGACATAGCCAGCAGCAAACTTGTCACCGAAGACCTGTTTTCAAGGGGAAAGGTTTCAGTTGCAGCTTCCAGTTTCTCATGCAGGATGGATCTGAGCAAAACACATACAGGGAGAGCAAAGCTTAACGTTCGCCGTGAGCCCAGGACCACTGCGTGAGGGTGTGGGTCACATTTGCAGCTCACATTCTGGGTCCAGAACTGAAGGACCCTTTGCTCCTATGAGAATCTGGACCTGGAAGCTGGAGCCCACCTGAAGCTATAAGTGGAGGTGAAGAATAGGAAGCCAGGGTCCAACACTGAGGAACAACTCTGTAAAGATATCCTGTGTGATCTGATTACACAACTCCAAGGTGACAAGTTACCTATTCACATCAGAATCACTTACAAGCTCTTAGAACTGATTAGAATGAGGTGAACCATGAAGAGTGGTGTGTTCCCCATCCCCAAGGTCCTCAAGCAGAGACTCAGCAATGACATGATGCTGGACATTGGTAACGATTGGCTTAAGTGAGGCCACCACAGCAGAAGCCTGCAAGTTTGTAAACGTGGGTTGAACGTGAACTAATAAGTAATTTTCCTCATCAAGACCTTGTAATTCCCTATGATGGCAATAAACACACTTTTATGAGAGAGGGCCCTCAACAAAGGTATTTTTGGCACTGAGCCTACTGTTTATAAACCTTTCAACTCGGTGCCGTGCCCTGAAGTCACCTAATGAAATGACTTTCATGTAGAGGGCTGAGCCCAGGACCTGTGATTCTCATGGTGTGTTTCATGGCCTCTCCTGGTTTTTCAGGATCCCACTGTGAGTGCATCTGTCCCCTTGGCTTCCAAGGACCGGCCTGTGAGATCACCTACCGGAAAAGTAAGGATCCTTTTGAGAGTTGTTTAGAAAGGAGAACTCTGGGGAAGTTCAGAGAACAAAACAAAAGAACAAGACTAAGGTGGGGGCTGCAGTAGGATTCTGGATGCTAGCAAGTGGGAGGTCCATCCTGGCTTTTGATGTTGCATTGCGTTATTTCACACTTGAGAACGCCTCTTGTCACAGAACTACAAGAGCATGACATTCTGGGTACTTGTTGGCTCATTCTGAAATACTTAAATTCTTGCTATTTAGTAAGGATGTACTAAGCCCTCAAAATCCAGCACCAATGTCCATTCTCTGTCAAAATTCCTTTAAGCTCCTGGGTGGAATTAATTCATTCCTCCTGTAGGTGCCAATGGACCTGAAATATATAGCATGGTTTCTCAGCACTCTGCATTTGGAGGCAGCTGAGAAATCTATCTCCTCTGCCTCTGTGAGTAGGAATCAAGTTTCTCTGGTTTGTGTGTGTTCTGTGACATACATGGCATTAACGAATGAAAGGCTAGATGAAAGTTCCCTTCTAGCTCCAAAATTCTTTTGTCAGTTTAACCGCTCAACTTCTTTCTTTCTCCCTTTCATCCCATTCTGTGACATTTTGATGATACTGTTAAAAATCAATATGGAACATACAATAAAAAGGAAAAACTTATTGGATACTTATACAGTAGGCACTTGCTGACTTAACGTGGGCTTGAATTTCTACTGCACTGCTAACCAACTGTGATCTTGAGCAAGACAGTCATCCATTTGTGCTGTATTTCTGCATCTGTACAATGGAGATGATCAATTAACTACCTAGTGGATTTGGCTTGACTTTCTAATGAGGCATATAAAGCAGAAGTCCCCAAATGTTTTGGCCCATGGACCATTTTTGTGGAAGACAATTGTTCTGCAGGTAGAGGGTGGGGTGATATTTGGGAATTAGATTCTTGTAAGAGGCGCACAACCTAGAAACTCACTTGCACAGTGCATGTAGGGTTCATGCTTCTATAAGAATCCAGTGCCCCCACCAATCTGACAGGAGCCAGTGACAGGAAGTAGCAAAGCTAGACACATGCCGTATCATGATTGAGTAACTTACTATACATAGTCTCATCAACATTCAAAACCTCTTCAACTAGGACTAAAAGCATAACTCAGTGGTAAAGCCTTGCACACAGAGACCCTGAGTCTGAGCCCCAAAATCACATGGAAGAAAAGTCCTCAAGTGAAAGGCAAATGTCAAGGAGTAGAGAGCACCAGTGTCCACCGTCACCACATTTAAAACACATCACTGTTTGTATTAGTACTTGGAATATTTAACCATAGATAAAATTAATTAATTCTCAAAAAGAAACCCATTATGTTCACAGCAGACGGTATAGCTCACATTGTATAGATTTTTTTTAAAAAACCTATTCGGCACCCTCTAGCTGGCAGCCATTCATCCATCCACTTAACAGATGTTTACTGAGGGCCTTCTCTGTGCCCATCTGAGTACTGACGCTCATTGGTGACAAATCTGATCCAGTGCCTATCACCACAGAGACTACACAATAGAAGAAAAGCTCAAGGTCATGGTGTTACCCTATCAGTGCATCTTAAGTTTCAGATGTAACAATTGTTACAAAATTGTTCTGAACATAAAATATGGGAAACCAATAGAGAATTAGGGGTATTGGACAATTTCCCTAAGAACACGTACCCTTGATGAGATCTGAAGGATGAATAGAATGGATCTGGTGATTAGAGAGGGGTAGACGGCTCTAGGCAAGACAGCCCTAGGCAGGAAGAGCAGCATGGCACATGCTGTGTGGGAAGAGAGCACAGGGTAGTACAGTGACCACAGAGAAAGACATTGACTGGAGAGGCGAGGTCAGTGACTCAGATTCCCAAAGACCTATGCCACTCCGCCTGCCCCACTCCGGGCCACCGTATGATCATAATGGCTAAGTGATGTGTGTTGACCTCTTTTCTTGCAGATGTTCCCATCAATGGAAACTGGAATTGTTGGTCCACCTGGTCTTCGTGCTCTGGGGGTGTAAAAACAAGATACAGACAGTGCAACAATCCACCTCCACAGGGTGGGGGCAGCCCCTGCCGAGGCCCTGCGTCGGAAACAGTCCCCTGTTAGGGGAAGAAGCACTTCTGGTAGATGACACCACCCCACCACGCACTGTCCTGGAACCCCCCAGGCCTCACCCCTCTCCACCCTACCCCAACCCACCCCACTCCAGCTCCTGCAGCGGCCAGCCCAAGTCAGAGGGCAGCCCCATCCAGGCCCTTGAAGTAGAGTGGTTAGCTTGTGAAATGCACAGTGAGTTGAATAAATAGAGGATTAAGCAAAAGCATTGAAGTTCCCTCAGAGGGCGTTTTTTAAGACTCTTGTTGCCCATGCTATGCTTGTATTCCATTCTCCTTTACCACTGGCCAAGAACTGTCTGGGGATCGTTCACCAGGGAGTCCCACCCTCTAGGATGATGGCCACAAGAAGTGCCTCCTAATGAACCAACAAATGGATGTGAAGTTGTTCTTTCCTTGCCGAGGACAGGATCAGGGTCAGCAGTTATGGCAGCGCATGTTTCTTGGATGATTGCTATGTGGCAGCCACTGTCTCTGTTCACCTCCCAAAGTAGATACTCTTTCTTATCAGCCCTACTAAAGAGTTGGGGTGCGGAGGGGGCGGGAACTTAGGCTCAGAACATTTCAGAGACTTGTCCCAGGCTACACAGAAAGTGGGTGACCTGGGCTGCACACTCAGGCCCTGGAGGTTTAAACTCTTAACTGTGATGGTTGCCTGCCTTTCGGTGAATCAGTATCCGGTTAATAAAGGGTTTTTCACAAAATAAGAAGCAAAAGAAAGTGCTATGTGTGCACATGTACATGTGTGTGCATGCAAGTGTGTCAACAATCTCTACCCACTACCACCAGAGGAAGGTGAGTGTGTGGCCCGCAGCTCCTTGGCTCCTCTCAGGGAAGCGTGAAGCAGCACACACGCACACACTGGAAGCAGAATTGTGCCTGACCCTACGGAGGCTGCTTGTCAGGCTTTAACAGCAGGCAAGAGGAGTGTGTAACTCTCAATGCAGCCACACCCTCCAGAGCTAAAAGAACAGCAAGGGTGGGTGCCGGGGTGGGTTTCCCAGAGCCAGGGAAAGTTAAAAGCAGAAAGGAGGTTGTGGTGGCTGCAAGAGAAAGGTGAGGAGGAGCCTTTGGCCGCTGTGGGTGGATGCAGGGTGCCTTCCCCTCCTGCCCCATGAGCTGCCCTGTACTTTCTACTCTACTGGCTTTGTGCAAATACAATCTGGGGAGGAGAGTGCTTGAAGATGAGAATAAGACAATTGATCTGCAGGTTGCCAAAACACCAAAATACATTTGTTTTTCAGATTGGAGAGTGACTAGCTAAGCTCTATTTCTCTCATTCATTCCATCCCATTGAAATCTCCCCTAAGATTTTGTTTGCTCTTGAGCACTTCCTTTCTAGTTGAAAACCTTCAGGTGAATGTACTGGAAAGGGATGGGGGAGGCGCACAGCTAGTTAAAGATGAATTTGCCTCATCCTATTTGTTGTGAGCCAGGTCATCTGTCATCTGTGCTGGACTGGCTGCCAGAATGGTTGGGTGGGTCTGAGGCCCCAGAACATCCATGGCCCTGGCGTTTGGTCCCCACCAGACATGGATGTGTCCTGAACAGCTTTCTAGAATGAAATTAACAGGATGTGGAGCTGCCCAGGGGTTGTTGCAGCAAGTGAGGTGATTCTGTCTGCCTTCTCAGGGCCCCTGAATAGAGCTGAGGGGTCTGGGCTCTTGTTTGGTTTAATATTATTGCTTTGCTGTTTGCTGTTCTTTCAACAGGCTAATCCAATAATGTTTTATCTCTTTCATTAGACCAGGGCCGTATAATTTTCTTGAGTTATAATCTATCTTCTTTTAAGATTCCCCAGAGACAAGGAAGAGCAGCTCTGTCTCGGCTGACGTGCTGCACTCTAGAAGCCTGCACCAGCTCAGCGAGGCGAGCGCTGCCAAATTAAATTTCGAATCTCAATCACAGCCACCACTTCTAATGGGAAATTTGAGTTGATTATGGAGATGACAGCCCAGGTTCACATTTATTGCATTTAGCAGAAATTGTTTATCCTATTAAATATAGTCTTGAAGGAGAGACGATTGAATTGTAGAGCACCGGCAAATACCCGGGTGACGCCCAGGCGCTGCTAAACTGAGTAATAATTATATTCTTATTTGTGGGCTGAACTTCCCCACGTGGCTCTTTTTGCAAACAAATGTATTTAGGAGGAGGCTGAAACACAGTGTAAGAATTAAACAAAACAAATACCAACTGTGCTTTTAGAGGGTGTTGGCATCTGTGTACCCCAGAAGGCGCTGCAGATGCCAAGGGCCGAAACATAGGTGGGGCCCCCAAGAAGCACGGACAGAGCCCTGGACGCCTGGGCATGGGAGAGCTTTGCGTCCAAGAGAATACATCTTTGAAAGCCTGGAGCCCTTTCACATGCTCCATGTCAGGGTGGGAGGCTTCTCCTGTGACTCGGACTAGTAGTAACATAACTTCTGTGGGAATAATAACTATTATAATTAGCTTAACAATGGTAATAACAATAGCTGCTGATTATAGACTGCTTCCCAGCTTATGAAGCCCTTTAGCCTCATTATCTCATTTAATTTGTGTCTGAATTGGATGGGGTGGATAGTAACACAATCATCAGGTTACAGAGGCAGCTTCAAAAGGAAACACAAGCCTAAGAATGGTCCAACCATGGCAACCGAGGTGTGATGTGGAGGCGTGTGACTGGCAGGGAGGCCAGAAGGAGGCCAGAGCCCGCTCTGTCCTAGGAGATTCCAGCCTGGTCCAGGGACTTAGGGGGAACCCTCCAGAGAGGCTTGCCTGGGGCAGAGCCTCGGGGCACCAAGGTATTCTCTCTGGGGCTTTCATGTTCAGCACTCAGCCCTGACCACAGGACCTTGCACATGGATGCCTCCACATATGCCCTCTTTCTCCACATGATAAAAACTTAGGCCTCTTGAGTTAACGTCGGCAGGTGGTGGAATCCTTAAGAGGCACGGCCCAGTGGGTGTCTTAGGTAACTGGCAGTGTACCTTTAAAGGAGACTGTGGGGCCCTCATCGCTTCCTCTCTTTCCTTCTCCCTCAGCCAGCATGAGGTGAGCATCTCTGTTCCACCACCCACCTCCTGCCACGATGCACTGCCTCCCTATAGGCTTCAAGCAGTGGGGCCAAGTGACCATGCACAGAAGCCTCTGAAACTGTATGCCAAGATAAACCTTTACTCTTTTTACCTAGGACTATCTCAGGTATTTTGCTACAATAATGGGCACAAATAACATAGAATAGATATTTATTCTTTCTGTCCTCATATCACCCTATCCCTGTCATCATGGCATGCACTGTAGTGCACAGAGTATTCATGGAGTCTGAACAGATAACCTTTTTCATAGACCAAGGGTATCCTTAGTGACATTCTGTCTGTTCACCAGTGTTTCTGATGCTGCAGACAACTGTATTATAACTTACTCCCTATTATCTCTTACTCTCCTTCAAGGATGACGCCCTGCAGGCAAGGACAGTGCATGAACGAGTCTCCAGGCCGGGGTTCAGTGCCTGACACTAGTGGGCCATCAGAAAGTGATTGTTGCAAGAATGAATGAAGCCATGAGGGGTGGGTGTGGCCAAGGGCAGAAGCTTCACAGGCCGCTGGGAATCTTCAGTGACTGATGCCACATGGGGGCAGCACTGTGGGACTTGTGTGCACTGCAACCCAGACAGAAGGGGAAGACACTTCTGCTGGCTTGTGGGCTGTGGTGCCGAAGAGGAGCGAAATAAAAGACAGCAAATACAGTGGACACTGGGAAGGGACCAGTGGTGCCTGGTTGGGGGCCACATTGGTGACACCACCCAGGAACAGCTGGAAAGCTCCAGGGAAACTTCACAAGGAAGGAGAGCCAAAGATGCTCTTGTCAGTGTGTAACCTGAGAAAGCGTACTCAGAGGTTGATGAGAAAACCAAGCCCAGGAAACTGTAAGCAGCCTACAGGATCTGTGGCAGAGGCAGGAAAGAACCACTTTAAAATTTTCCTCTTCCGGGGTTCTGCCTCAGTCCCTGTTTCTTGTCTCCAGATTCTTTCTCAACCTGGACCCTAACAGCAGCCTGTGGAAGGGGACATGATGGGTCTTTGTGGTCATTGACCATGTTCATGAAATCTTAGTTTCCTACACAGTGGCTTTCTTATTGTGTTACTCTCCTCGGTGTTGCCCAGATTTGGGCTGGGAGGCCCTGAGATGCTCTCAGCTCTACTCTGGGGACCGCAGCGCTGATGTTGCAGCTTCTCACCCGGAAGAGGAACGCGACAAAGGCTGGTGGCGAGGCATGAGCACTCGTGTGCAGCAGAGCACAGGCCTGGCTCTGCGGCCTCCAGCCCCTTGGCCTTCAGCCAGCCGGACTCACAGTCCCAGCTGCAAGACGGAAGGACACGGGGAGGGCAACTGCAGCCTCCTGGCATCCAGTGAGCACTGCGTGGGCTCCTACGTATGAGGCAGCACCCTGGGCCCAACAGACCCCTTTAATTACCCGCATCACTGCTGCTATCATTTCCGGAAATTCTCACAATCTCAACAAGAACCTCAGGTTTTGGGAGAGCTTTAAAAAGTCATTTGAAACTGCTTTAAAGATATTTCAGTGCAAAACTCGATGACAGCATCTGAGAACAAAAAGCATCTGAGAATAAAATAGCTCAGCTCCTAGGAGATATCTTAATAAAGGACATGGAGGGCTTTTCTAGCTCAAGCTCTGGGTTATTACAGGAAAATGTAACAGCATAATAACCAATATTTGCACAGGGCATTACTAGTTACAAAGAACTTTCACATACCTAATCCAGCTTAATCCTCTCAATGCCTGCAAGAGGAAAGATTCAGTATCTGTTTCTGACAGGTGATGAGACAGAGCAGGGAGGGACAGAGATTTGCCCACAATCACAAGGCTCAGAAGGGTTTAGTTCAAGGGCTGGGGCTGCTGCCACCATGGTGCCATCTTCCCCGTGGAGGAAACACATTCTGGTGTGCATACACTCGTGTGGAGGAGACACAGGGGAAGCTGCATGGGTCTGCAGAGCTTCAAGGCAGCCAGGGATAAGATCCCTGCCACACCATCTTCAGCAGTGTGACTTTAGTCCAGTGACTCGGCCCCTTGGTGCCTCCATGCTCCCTTGGAGAACACAAGTGAGCACCGGGTGATGATGCTCAAAGGTATGGCTGTTGGCCCCAAAGTGCCTGGAGCGTGGCAGAAGCTCAGTTGCCTTCTCTTTCTCAGGTCCTGAAT